ATCGGGTATCGTTCCATTATTGGGTCGATGTCAAAACTCATTGTTACTCCCTGGGGGTAAATGTTTGGCAGAGGTTAAGATTGGTTCAGGACCGGCAAAGTTAGGTGCGGCCTCGTGCCAAGCCATCCTGGACTGTTTCGAGCGATTGGATATCGGGAGTAAGCTTTCGTTTGCGATCGATATGATACAGGTTATTGGCAATTGTTGAAAGTTTAGGTGGAAAATAGATTTTGTATTTCTAGGAGAAGAGGAAGATAAAAAAATGTCCAGTCGACTTGAATTTCGTTCAGTTTTTGTGAATAGAAAAGACAGATAAAAAATGTCTCATCGACTTGAATTTCGTTCAGTTTTTGTGAATAGAAAAGACAGATAAAAAATGTCCAATCGACTTGAATTTAGTTCCATTTCATCCTCAAGCAAATTTTGGAGTAACTTGAGGATGAAATGGAACTAATGTCTTTAATTTAATCACAAAATTAAATTCGTGGCTTTTTAGCTTCCATTTTTGAAACATGGTTAGAACTGTAGCGAAAAAAACATATTTTAAATCAGTTAATTTATAATATTAATGCTCTGTAAATTTACATTGAGCACTATTTTGTAAAAATAAAAATATCTATAAGAACACCGGATTATATATCTTGCTGTTCTTTTTTTTATATATATATATATATATATATATATATATATATATATATATATATAAATATATAACATTAAAGTCAACACTCAGACTGTTTCAGGCCACGAATGTTGGATTTTTCCTCTGCTATTTATATATATGAGTCAGTGTTGCATTGTGGATAATCTATTCTGGCGGTTATTTTTGCGGGAGTGGTTTGTTTATTTATTTATTTATTTTTTGGGGTTAATTTATTTTAATTCTTTTTCTTTTTCATTTTGTATTATTTATTTTCTTTGATGTTTTATTAACGTATTAAAAATTTGGAGGGTCGCTTATTTAATAGTTTGTTTTGGTTTGGGAAGATCATTAAAGCTCTTTATTCGTCCAATGTTTAGATTGCTTGCCGTAGTATATTCTGTTATTTTGGCTGGAGGACAGTTTTTAATTAATTTATTTATTTGGCCACCCCACAAAAATAACGACCAGAATAGATTACCCACAATGTACCACTGACCCATATATATAAATAGCCGAGGAAAACCTAACATTTACGTCCTGACGATTGCGTCTAGTATGAAAACAGCCTGTCACCTCTGAGTGTTGACTTCAATGTTCAATTTTATATATATATATATATATATATATATATATATATATATATATATATATATATATATATGTTAATGTCTATATTCGACTGGTGTAAATTACCCGGACAGTACAATTTGCACATTAATATATATTAAAACAAATTGTCATGTGGGGAAAATCTTTTTTAAAAAAATGAAAAAGGCTTAAAGCATCCGCGTAGGACGAAAAAATCGCCCAGTGTCGTAATTCCTAGTAAAAAAAAAACAAAAAAAAACAATAACAAAAAACAATCGAGTAACATAAGAAAAAACTTAAAGGGCTCAAACACTAAGTAGAGCTTAGTATAAAACAATCCTAGTAAGCCAGCTTACCCTGAAGATCTATTTAGGTGAAACCTTGGTAATAGTTTCTAGGTCACTAGGTATATATATATATATATATATATATATATATATATATATATATATATATATATATTTTGTTTAAAAATATGATTCCTTCGCTACATAAGAGTTCTCATGTTCAAAATCGAGAGCCGAAACATCCAAATAATTATTAAAATTAAGTTGGATTGTGGTGTTTAGTCCCGTTTCATCTTCAAGCGAAATTTTAGGAATAAGCTATTTGTCGGTTTACGTGTATTTTTAGGCCCGGTCCGTTACAGAATTCGTTATTGTGGGAGTGGCTAGACTATTTTCCTTCGTTAAGTGGTCAGAGAGTTAATTCTTATCAATAGATTAAGGAATCATATTTTTAAACAAAAAATATTATTATAATATAAGCTCTACTTCTGTATGGAGCACTGTCTTCTTAAAAAATAAAAACAAAAAATACTAAGGAACCCTGGATTATGCACCCAACGTGTTCTTTTCTATTTTTTCTGCATACCTACATATATATATATATATATATATATATATATATATATATATATATATATATATATATATAAAACTGTCCGAAAGTTATATATATGCTAGTTCTTTCGCTTATTCTATTAGGTATTATTAAAGGATTTTTTAAATGAATATAATATGTAGATTTTTATATCTGATTATCTATAGCGGGGGGTCACCAATTTTTTTTCACAGAGGGCTAAATGATTGAGAGAATGATGAATGGCGGCCGGATAACCATTTTGTTCAATACAATAAAATAGACAACAAACATACTTATTTTTTAAAAAAGTTATCCAAGGTGACGATAGCAATAAAATAATTATATCACACCAAGTGTACACATATCCGAATCTTACAAACTTCGTAAGATTTGTGAAACTGGCATTTACCTTTTAAGATATAATTAATATTTGTTTTGGTATTGCTGCATCCAACCAAGAGAAATGATTTCAAATGTTCATCAGTCAACCTCTTCACATGTGCTGACTTTACTTACTTTAGATTTTATAAAAAATTATGGCAAAATATATGACGTAATTCGCTGAAGTCAGTTCTTTTAATATAGGCACTCTTCAGACCGGGTTAAACACGGCAATGGATGTTAAAGCATAAAAATAAGACTCGGAATTGCTTTTCTTAGAAACTTCATTGCATGTGCTTACATAAAAAGCGCTCGGATATCAACATTTTTTATTTCACTGATTTTCCTGAAACTTATATTACTGTCAGATGCAAAAATCAGATGCAAAAAATCAGATTTAACTACAACCTGTAAATTTTGGTATTTTACTTTCATTTATTTTTATTTTAGTTCATTTGTAAGTTTGAACTGACGTCGGGGGCCGGACAACCTGTTGATAATTCCATATATATATTTTCCAAACACGGCCATTACGTTGTGGTCGTATTTGATGTTATTGAGTGTTGGCTTTTTTTTTTTGTTTCATTATTAAGTCTTTCCGAACTACCTCATAGATAACAAATTAGATTATTTCTTTCTCAAGAGCAACATCTAACATACGGGTTAAAACAATATCAAATATACGTCAATTATAAGCAGGATGAATTTTTCCTTAGAAACATCTTATATATAAAGTACAGTGTATGAGTATGTGTTTGTGCACGCGTGTGTGTGTCTCCAAGCAAATCATCCGCTCCCACTGGTCCGATTTCAATGTATCATAGCTCATTCAAAAGCCCTAAGAAAGTTAGGCGTAGGGAACGATTTTCGTTGAGTTCAAATTCAGGGTTGCCAGATTATGCGAGGTTAAATATATATATTAATATATAATATTCCATAATATAGTTTTTACTTTAATTAGCTATTAAGTTTCTCTAAGTCTTCAAATATTGAATGTATAACTAATTCTAATTTCTGTTTCCCCATCTTTACACTATACTAATTTTATCTTATAAATTGTCCCATATTCTGTCACCCATGAAATAAAAATAATTGTTTGTACAGAAAGTAAGGAGCTACGTACATCAAATCATCTTTAAATTAAGTGGTGGCAGAAGAATTATTGTTGAATTTTTAAAAGGCAAGCTTAAATATTAATGCAATAACAAATCGATCAATTTTGAGCGATCAATTTTGAGTTCTTCTGTAGTTTATTGTTGCCTATCGTATCTACTATTTCCAAGCTACTGTGATAATAGCCAAACGAAGAATCCTCCACGGTAGCTAGCTTAAATGCCGCCGATAGGGTGGCTTTTAAGCTGGTTCTAAATAAATACACAAGCCCAATAGTCTGGAACAAGAAAATTATAAAAAATTAAAACAGCTAACCTCACCGAAAGAAATTCCCGAATAATTATATTGGACATACCACTACATGCCTATCAAGAAGACTCACATTGCATATTTCTGACTGTTGTGACCAAGTAATTGTTTAAAAAATAACAAAACAAGAGGTTGCAGATAAATAGTGTATTGAACAGTAAATACAACAGAAGAGTGATACACGACTTGGGAGTGTGTGTCGGTTGACCAACGTTCAGTCTATAGCAATGTTAATATTTAACAGTCCCCACCACGAGGGTACATATGGCACAAGGCTGAGTTTAACGTAGATCACCCGAGTCCGTAGGCTCGGCAGAAAAATCCCCCTAGAACCCGCATAAACGGGTTCGGTTCTGACCTCCCCGGACGAGACTCTCCCCTTCGGCAAAGCCTCGTCCAGGTTCCTCTCTGCCCAAAGCAGATAGTTCAACAGAAGCTGCGAACAGCCTCAGTAGAATAGTCTGTATCACCGTTCCCCCGAGGCTTACTTTTCCTACTACTTTTAGTAAGTGGAAGAGTCCACAATAGCCTCATTAGAGGGAAGACACCACAACACTGACCTTAGCTCAATTAGGGCACATTTATATATACATACCGAAACATTGCCAAATATAACCATAATAGCCTCATCCACATGTAAAAAAAAAAAAAACGGCTAAAAATAGCGGAAGCTTTAATAATAACAAATGAAAAGCAAACGCTCACTAATATCAACTATGAACATGGCCATAAATTGCTGACCGTGTTTGGAAAATAAACAAAAGCACTCCCAGAACTACAAATACATATATGTAAAAAAACCTAAAAAACTACATATTCAGTTAAAAGCAAACTTGACAATGCTTAACAGAATATCCGAAATCGCTTGGATATATGGAACATTTTAGCACTTTTTACACACTTTATGCTCAGAAAAGAAAATTTTTGTACAAATGCAGGAAAAATTTATTAAAAAGCTTAATCGCGGTACTTTGTCATTCGACTTCAATGAAACGTGTATAAAAGAGGGTTTGCTACCACGAAGAAAATTATAGGCATATGTATATATATATATATATATATATATATAATTGTCTATTCATATGTATGCATGTATGTGTGTATGTATCAATCTTGGTCTGTTCAAATCTCTCTCTCCCACTCTCTCCGTCTCTTTCTCTCTTTCTCTCTCTCTCTCTCTATCTGTTCTATCTATGTTTGTTCATTATCTATCTATCTATCTATCTATCTATGTCTGTTCAAATCTATCTATCTATCTATCTATCTATCTATCTATCTATCTATCTATCTATCTATCTATCTATTTCAGTTTGTTCATTATCTATCTATCTATCTATCTATCTATCTATCTATCTATCTATCTATCTATGTCTCTTCAAATCTATCTATTGATCTATCTATCTAGAGCGGTTCGTTCATTATAACAGATCTATCTATCTATCTATCTATCTATCTATCTATCTATCTATCTATCTATCTATGTCTGTTCAAATCTATCTATCTATCTATCTATCTATCTATCTATCTATTTTGGTTTGTTCATTTGTCTATCTATCTATCTATCTATCTATCTATCTATCTATCTATCTATCTATCTATTAACCATAAACATATTGAATAAACTAACACAAGCCTGTTGTATTTCAAGTATCGCATGAAAACAAATTAAAATTCGTTCATTGAAAATTAAAAAAACTAATTCAATCAGCGTAATTATTTCCAAATGCTGACCGCTGCCAATTTGCTTGATTGCACAAGAAACAATCATCACTTCTTTTCGCACAGATTCGCCGTTATTTTGCGCGCATATGACTGACTTTAGTTTTTTTTTTGTTTTACCATCAATAAATATTCGCGGATGTAATGGAAACGTTTAGAAAATGACGTCATAGCTTGGAAAACGTATGACTTTTCATTTGAAATGTCAAAATAATTTTAATGTATGCAATATAGCAAAAACTCTAAGTAGAAGCTTTATTTGACTATATCAGCTTTACCGCTGTAAATGTTTATTTTATTATAGTGGATGGTTACAAGCGAGAGCGGAGATGGGATGTGCTTATTTTCTCACCACAATGTATTTGGCAGCAAGAAAAATATAGAACCTTAATTTGTTACAAGGTCTATGTGTATTTATTCTCGTCCCCGTGGTTGTAGCATGTGAATCAAGTCCAGTTTAATGCGAGGTGCAATTGCGTCCATATTGACGAATGGTTCAAATTACCCAGGCCTCGTGACTACTGACCCGGAGGCGTCGGTATCCTGAAATTCTCTCTTTTTAGGAAGAGGAATGTGCTGAAGAGTTAATTATAAAAGTCAGTCAGTTATGTGCCATGCATGATACTCGCTTAGGCGATCATGTATCTTTCGATACATGACGGACGAGGCAGATTTTTTCCCGCATTAAGTTCCTATTTCTTTCTGCGGTAGACCAGTTGCTGTCAAAGGCTATAGAACCCGTTGATGTAAGGTGATATAGAAAGTGGCGAGAGAGACAGAGAGTGTGACAGACATGGTCGAAATTAAAGCGGGAAGGGTGAGATAGGATTTTAGATTTATTTTTATTACAATATTTAATAGTGATGAAGGGAGGTAAGGACTAGAAATTGACCTATTTAAGAGGTCATCTCACAGGAAATGATATATAGAGAAAAAAAGAAAAGTAAAGATATAAGAAATAAGGGGAATAGAGATTTGGAAAGGAAAAATAAGACAATGTGAAACATATATATATATATATATATATATATATATATATATATATATATATATATACTTGTAAGTGAAGTATAGAATATATATATATTTATATATACACACACAGACAAATATATATTCTCGAGTGAAATATAGAAGATATATATATATATATATATACTTGTGAGTGAAATATAGAAGCTATATAAAGATATATATAAAGATATATATATATATACATATATATTTTCTGAGGAAATATAGAAGATATATATATATATATAAAGATATATATATATATATATAAGATATATATATATATATATATATATACTTATTGAGTGAAATATAGAATATATATATATATATATATATATATATATAGAGAGAGAGATATATATATATATACTTTTCAGTGAAATTTAGAAGATATATATACAGTTATATATATATATACTTTTCAGTGAAATTTAAGATATGTATATATATATATATATATATATATATATATATATATATATATATATATATATCTGGCTACAGATAAATAAGGATAACTTCCAAAAATTCAGACAGAAGACGAGCAGGTGATAAAAATAATAAAGATAGAGAGTGGAGGGCACAGCGGTCGAAATCTTGTAGTAACAACAAAGATGCGTCTTAGTGGCATTATTGCCTTTCTTGATGATGGGAATAATATAAAAAAGTAAAAATACAAGGAAATATAAAAAAAAACTATTTTTTTCAGACGTTTTTCATTTGTTTTTTTTTTATGCTCATTCTCTTTCTTTCTCTCTTTTTCATTCCTTTTCCCTGTCTGAGATAAGGAAACTTACCATAGAATAGGCTGCACTAGGTGTAGTTTCCTCCACCAACTCAAGTCATTCTCTTAGCCTCATCATATCAAGACTCTCGTACGGATGTCATGCACAGCGTGAAACTCATTCACAAATATCTCAATTGTTAGCTACATGCGTCACTTTTCTCAGATCAATCATTCAAAATGGATTCAGGCGAATGAACGCTCAAGGTGTTAAATAAGACTATGCTTCATCAGATCTCGTAGACTGGCGCTACATAATCAATATGAACTTTACCAAAAGTCAAAGATTTCTCACGACAACAACAAATAAAATGAGTAGCACATAAGAAAAATGGAAAATAATGACATAATTAAGATGTTGATATTGAACACTACCGAAAGCATAAAGTTAAGAAGCAAATTACTAGAAAGAGCTATAACAGTTAGTGGACTGGGTAAGTGAAAATATTTGTTTAGGAGAAATGTTTTTTTATAAATCCCAACCAAATATAAGGCTAAGTGTTCAGTCAATGAATGTTGAATGTTTTATGCATGGAAACGGCTATTCTCACCATTAGCATTGTCATTTATCTTTTTTTCTTTCTTTCTTTCTTTCTTTCTTTCTTTCTTTTTTTCTTTCTTTCTTTCTCAATCAATATTTTGCTTCATTTTTATTTTCCTCAGATGTTTTGCCGGGTTATTTTAGTTTCGTTCGTTTTTCGTTTTTATTTTCGCTCATTCTTTCTTTCTTCTTTCCTTCCATCCTTTTTCCTTCTTTTCTTCTCTCATTCGTTCTTTCTTTATATTCATTCTTTTTTGCTTAGTTATGTTTTCTTTCTTTCATTTCTTGTTTTTCTCCCTCTTTCTTTCTTTCTTTCTTTCTTTCTTTCTTTCTTTCTTTCTTTCTCTCATTTTTCGTTGTTTTTCTTCCTCTCATATTTTCCTTCCTTCTTTCTTTCTTTGTTTTATACTTGGCTAAATTTTCTTTTGTTCATTTTTACTCTTTTTTTTTACTCTCGTCATTTCTTTCTTTCTTCCTCTCGTCTTTTCTTTCTTTCTTTCTTTCTTTCTTTGCTTAGCTACATTTTTTTCCTTTCATTTATTGTTTTATCTTCTCATCTTTCTTTCTTTACTTTTTCGTTTTTACTTTCGTTCCTTGTTTCTTTGTTCTTCTTTCTTTGTCTTTAGCCATATTTTCTGTCTGCCATATTTCGCTTTTTCTTTCCTTCTTTCTTTTAATTATTTTTCATCTTTGCTTAATTATATTTATTTCACTTTTTCATTTTTTTCTGGTTCTTTTCTTTCTTTCTTCCAGTCTTTCTTTTATTTTCTCTTTGTTCTTTCTTTTTCTATGTTAGTTTGTTTTCATTTTTTTCGCTTGTTCTTTTCTTTCTTTCTTTCTTTCTTTCTTTCTTTCTTTTTTCTTTCTTTCTTTCTTTCTTTCTTTCTTTCTTTCTTTACTTAGGTACCTTTTCTTTCTTACTTTTTTAGTTTTTCTTCTCCTCATATTTTTTTTCTTTCTTTCTTTTTTTGCTTGGCTAGATTTTCTTTCTTTCATTTTTGTTCTTTTTCTTTCTCTCTTTTTTCTTCTTTTCTTTTTTTTCTTTCTTTGATTAAGTACATTGATATTTCTTTCATTTTTTTTTCGTTTTTTATTCCTCTCATCTTTTCCTTATTTCTTTCTTTCCTTTGTGTTTGGCTAGATTTTCTTTCTTCCATTTTTACTTTTTTCTTCTTCTCATCTTTTCTTTCTTTCTTTTTCACTAAGCCACATTTTCTTTCTTTCTTTAATTTTTTTCGTTTTTACTTTCATTCCTTGTTTCTTTGCTCTTCTTTCTTACTTTGTCTTTACTTATTTTTTTTACCTTTATTTTCTTTCTTTCTTTCTTTCTTTCTTTCTTTCTTTCTTTCTTTCTTTTCGCTTATTTGCCCGGTGTCTTTCTTTTCCTCTCTACTTTTTCTTTCGTGCTTATTTTCTTTCTTTCTTTCTTTCTTTTAATTCATTCATTCTTTCTGCTTTTCTTTTTTATCCTCTTTTTTTTCATTCTTTCTTTATTTATCTTTGCTTTTGTTTTCCTAGTGTTTTTCTCTTTCATCACCTCCTTTACTTTCTTATTTTCATTCTTTTCTTCTTTCTTTTTTAATTCCTTCGGGCTTTCTCCTTTTCTTTTTTATCTTCTTCTTTTCTTTCTTTCTTTCTTTCTTTCTTTCTTTCTTTCTTTCTTTCTTTCGCCCCGGTTCTTTTTTCTTTCTTTCTTTTTTGCTTAATTATATTTACTTTATTTTCATTTCTCATTTTTTCCTTTTCTTTCTATTATTTTCTCTTTGTTCTTTCTTTTTTCTGTTTGCTTTCATTTCGTTCTTTCTTTCTTTCTTTCTTTCTTTCTTTCTTTCTTTCTTTCTTTGCACTCAATGTCTCTCTCTCTCTCATTCTCTCTCTCATTCTCTCTTTAACATCTTTTTCTGACCTATTATTCGTTTGTTTTTTCTTTCCTTTATTTCTTGAACATTCCTACTGTATTGGAATGATTCGGGGCTTAAAAAATCAGACTAAGTCTGATCCCCTGACAACTTGGATGTTTCGCTCAACACAGATTTCAAAACTGTGCAAGAAAAAAAAAATCCTGCCGTAAATTTTTACCTCGCTATCAAAATCTTAGTTTTGAAGAGAGGTAATGGAGAAAGCTGTGATGCGTGTAAAGAGTGCGTTGAGACTGAACACAGAACAGGTATAAAAACAAAAGACGATATATATAGCGGGCTATTACTCCATCGTGCCTGCTTTTCTGCATGCGAAAAACCCACAGTGACAGGCAAAAGGTCACCATCAAGAGGAGCCTCATGCTGCCAACTTGCTTTAATATTTGCAAGCAGTTAATCCCGATGTTCATGTTAGCCTCGCTCGAACGTAAATATAGATGAAACCCAGAACAGGAGCCCGGATCCTTCGCCCTGACGCCATCTTTTCCCCAGGAAGAAAACGGGATGTCGCATCACGTCAGATTGTCTTTGAGGCTTTCTTTGTAACGCAAGAATGCCTTTCGAACTGGTCTGCTAGTTGGAAGCTGGCCAAATATATAATGCGAGTAAGTGTGTATTTGTATTCATATGTTCATCGACCAGGATTTTCTGCCGAGCAGTGTGGCAAGAGCCATAGCAGGATTAAAACCAAAACCTGTCAAAGAGTAGATTATTCCTCTCATGGGATCAACAGCCTTCTTGCATACAGAATATATGCGCTGGGACGTAGAAGAAATACCGTGGTTAGTGTCCTACAGTCCTACAGTGGGAGAGGGACATCCTCACCTTCATTAAGTCATCTCTTTAGGAGAACGAATATTCTGATATAATAACAGCGACTTCGTTCGCATCCAACGATTTAGGCCATTCTGGACAAATTTGTCTGTTGTTAACTTTGGGCAAAGCCTTTCCCCCACGCAACAAAGTTCCAACCACAGGTAGCTTTTGATATTTATAATCTTTCATATGGGATACGTTATGTGAATAAATGGCCAGATTGAAACGATTGACTTGAAAAAAATTCAAGAAAATAATAAACAACCATGACAAAATAACTATATTTCAAAAATTACATTTGTGTGAACATGGTATGGAAGAAATCTTTCTAATGGAATTTAGCAAGAGACGACCATTTCTTCCATAGAATATCAATTGCATTTAAAAAATGTATTTCCTTATATGCCGTCGCCTTTTCAAATTTTTTTTTTTATATATATATATATATATATATATATATATATATATATATATATATATATATATATATATATATATATATATATATATATATATATTTATAATGTTTATCTTTAAACTTTAAACTTAATAAAATTTTTAGTGGATATTCTTATTTAAATAGACGCCCCGTTTATTTATTAAACAATCTATTTAACCTTTATTTGACTTTTACAGAAAATGTTAATGACATTGTTTTTATTTGTAAGTTCAGTGTTGCTACTGGTTACTTAAGAAAGAAATAGCTTCATTTGGTCATCTATGAGGGAGTTCGGAAAACCGTTATTAACTAGCATCTGTTTCACGTCATTTAATTCTTTCAGGGAAAGCGGATGAGAGGATGAATTCTCGTGCTCTCCATTGCAGATTTTTTTAAAAATAAAGGCTATTTTATATCTAAGTGGACATCCACTCATAAAATTAATGTGTTAAGAGGTTCTACTAGTGTTTTATGTTTTGTATATGAAGTAGTGAATGTATTACTACGATATTCTGCAAGAACGTCTAAGAAAGGGAGTTTATTTTTTTGACTAAGCGGGTAAGTTCATAAGTCACCCTCTCGTAGGTTGAACATTTTGGAAGAAAGAATTTGTCGGCTGCTGCCAATTAGCGCTAAAATCTCTTCGCTATGAATTTAGCACTCTGGTAGTTGCTAATGTTTCTATCTTGTATATAATGCTTTTAAAAAAATCCCCTTTCTCCGCCGAGTACGCTGATAGTCGACTGATGTCAAATCGTTCGGTTTTCAATGCATGTCTTGCGACACTAATGATGACTATATATATATATACATTGATTTAAATATAAGGATCATATTTCATATTTATTTTTAAAATAGATACAAAAGTATCTCGTTTAAGAAAAAGGGGGGATTTAAGGAAGCCTTTCGGCCGACACTTCTTCAGAAAAATAATTGTCAGCAGAATAAAACAAAGAAGTTGATAAGAAAAATTATTAGCAACGGCCGATGTTAAAAGACAATAGATTACCAAGATGTAATAAAAAGGGGGAAATTAAAGGAAAAGGGTGAAAAAAAACCTTATGAGTACTAAATATTCTCTAGGTTAAGCACTAATCTCCCCGAATAGGGACCAACCTGAATTTCATCTCCCTCTGTCTACACAGGGCAGGACGTTGCATAATAATAATAATAATAATAATAATATAATATAATAATAATAATGATAATAATAATAATAATAATAATAATGATTATAATAATAATAAATATATATTATTATTATTATTATTATTAATATATTATATTATAATTATACACCAATCCTATACTTGTATATATATATATATATATATATATATATATATATATATATATATATATATATATATATATATATATTTCTATTTTATTTAATCATCGGTTTTGAGCTTGATATATATCATAAGAAGCTTTGTATTCCTTTCACATTTTTTACTGTTATTTTTCTTTTGAAGGTTATAGGAATATATTTTAAGTCCCCCTTTTTTTGTTTTTTTGTTTTTCGTAATTTAACTTATTTCAAGAGTGTTTTGTGATTTGTTGTGTTCTAACCGACTCCATAATTTGTAAATGGGTTTTTAATCAATTTTAATGAATATTGTTTGTGTTTTATCTTTTGTGTACAGTTAAAACACACGGCATATTAATGGACAGTTATTTGAAAGTTGAGAATACGTCCATTTGAAAGTTAGCTGACCTGTATTAGTGTTGGGAATCGGGTTGAGCGATAGGAATGTGGTGGTGGGATTGAGTTTAGGTTCCCTCCCCCCACTAACTACAAAAATAAAACCGTAGAGTAAACAATACTTAGGAAACAACAAAAAGTGCTAAATTTAAGAACGTTAAATTACCTCCTCAGTTAACCATTGAAACTGCGACCCGCAGAAAAAGTAAGAAGCTATTCCCTACCGTGGACCATTTAAAAAACAGTTCGCGCAACTCATTAAAAAGGCCAGAGTATCCGATAGCGTTTGATTGCGAGGAGGAATCAGGGATTGATCTTCCCTGATGGGGTATATGCTGTTGAAACTCCCTGATGAACCAAGTCAATTAACATCACCGACGACTCCCTCCGGCGCCATCTTAAGAGCGTCTATTTGAATGAATTAACATCACTACAAAAATAGCCATTTTGTTTTAAAATTGATGTTTATGTTATAATTTTTGAATAAATACTAAACACACACACACGCGCGTCGCGCACACACACACAGAGACACATATGTTTTTTCCTATGTATGTACGTGTTTATCTCTGTCTTTCGGTATCTATTTATATATGTTTTTTCGTATCTATCTATCTATCTATCTATCTATCTATCTATCTATCTATCTATCTATATCACAAGGGCTTACTAGAATTGATTAGCTTATTTATCCAAAACATTCCACTGTTTTCTTTTACTCTAAATCCTGTGGCCTCGTACCAGACGAATAACTAGATTATCGGTTTCTTATTCCGGAAGTGTTAGCTTTGTTCTAAACAGGAACCGGAAAGCCACTGATTAGGATTCCACCTTATATTTATAAAGACGAATCTTATAAAGAATCGCATAAACCAACGACGTCTTCTCGGATTAACTTTCGCCTTTTTCCTTCGCGTGTCAGTAATTTTACTCGTAATAAGTATTCACACTTTCGACTGTTGTTCATACTTGATCTGATCGATTCCAGATTCATCTCACAAATATATATATATATATATATATATATATATATATATATATATATATATATATTGAATGTAAATATTAAATAGCATGAGTCTGGAGTCCTAATAACTTAAGTTACCATTTTCGACTCAAAAAAGTTACCCTCAGCTAGTGTGTGTAAAGAGGCATCCCGGGCATCTGGTCCGATATGTGGACCTTACATTCTCCTATGCGATGTGTGAGCGACTGGCCCAAATAATTTTGAGGGATATAGGAGGCTGTTTATATACCAACTGTCCAACATGCTTGTTCTCATGCTCGCATTACCGGATGATGTTGTGAGGTCGTGTACTTCTACTGTAAATAACCTCAAGATCACACTGCACCTGGTTTTCTTTGATGGATTGTGATTGATTGATTGGTTTGGTATTTACGGTTTATCGACCCTTTGTGGGTTATTTATAGCCGAAACATTTTTTCGATTGTTGTCTGTCTATATATCTGAGATGAGGTATTATCTACACTATTTACATTATTCGGACTATTGTCCTCATCTTTGTCGCCATATTTATTACAGCGTTCCGGCCCTTCAGTATCTGTCTATATTTCTGAGATGAGGTATTATGTACACTATTTACATTATTCAGACTATTGTCCTCATTTTTGACGCCATGTTTATCCCAACTTTTCGGCGGTTGTACGCTTCGGCCTTCTTCAAGTCGGTGGAATGTCAAACTGAACCCTCTATTTCGCTCACTGGGGTAGACTGTTCTAGTTCCACGTGCCATGTCTAATGGATATCAGTTATCTCCTGTTAATTCCCCTCGCCAAGTTTTCCACCTCAGGTATTGAACTCACACTCTTAAGGAAGTGGAGAACTTGGAGAGGGGAATTAACAGGAGATAACTGATATCCATTAGACATGGCACGTGGAACTAGAACAGTCTACCCCAGTGAGCGAAATAGAGGCTTCAATTCGACATTCCAACCACCTGAAGAAGGCCGAAGCGTACAACGGCTGAAACGTTGTGATAAACATGGCGACAAAGATGAGGACAATAATAAATAGTGTATTTTTGGGACTGTTAGAATATTTTTAATTTTTTTTTTGTGACTTAAGATGAATTTAAAAAGTTTTAGGGGTTATTGCTTTTTTTTTACATACTATTTAACCCATAGCTTGGGGACAGAAAGAGGTTGATTTGTACCTTTCGCAAGGGTTAAGTGAAGCTCTGGTATGTAATCTGAGTGCAATATATACTTCGGCTGAATGCCACAAGCGTTTTTCATTGAAGATCTTTGGACATTATTAAATTTGACCGGCCTTTACTTACATATTTTCTTTTCAGTTGCTTTTCGCTGTAAATTTAGTCGGGTCGTCAATCTACCGGCGCAAGCAGACAGTGCACATGGAAAATAAATGACACTTCACTCCTCATTTTTGCCTCGGGACAACCAGATTGAACGCAGCATCTGCTTCGGCCAGCTGCGGGGACGCCAACGGCTTCAGAGTAGATGAAATATAACGTTTATGTCCCAAAGGTTGGCATCTAAAGTTGTCTAATGTCGGCAAGAGTAATCTCTTCTCAGTCTGTTCATATCTACCTATATCAGTCTGTCTGATCTGTCTGTCCGTCTTCAAGGATCCTATTTAAGAAATCTGAAAAACTGAGCCATTTTTTTCTGTAGTGGCGACTCATAACTCGTAAAATATGGTTGGCTTGAAGGGACTTTCCAAAATTAAAGAGAATACAGGTTCGATACCTGTTGAGTGGCACAATTTATTTGATAAGACTTTCGATCTACAGGCCGGGAGATATCGCTATGGTTTTTTAAAAAGAGATGCCTTCACAAACACTTATCTCTATCTATAAAAGGCAGGATGTGTGTGTTTGTGTAACGAATGCACAGCCGCAATTTTCGACGGATTTGCACCAAAACTTACATGCACATGCTCCAAGTTCGCGGGAAGCCCGAGACCGACTTTGCATTTTCCAACTCCCATCGATAGTGGAAATAATCGATGTTTTTCATGCTTCTACGGCAGTTTTCATGTAGTTTGCGGCCATTTTGTACTGGCCAGAGTGAGAGCCTATGGCTGGCTGCCACGAATAGGCAGGAAGATTCTACTGGCCAGCGTGAGAGCCAACAGCTGACTGACACGAATGTTAACTAGCATGCTAGCATGCAAAAAAAAATCGATAGCTGCATTTGTCAGAAGTGGGAAAAATTTAAATCTGCATGGCACTTTACTCCAATTGGCTCATTCGCTTGCTTAAACTCAACGTTGATTCTGATTCCGCAAAACTGGGTTGGATGTGAAAAAGTATTTGTTGTTAACATTCTTTTTTCTTCCGGTTTTTCCAGTCACGAGTCCTTTTTTAAAGCTGATCGTTTTGTGTTCATTTTGTTTAGTTCTTTTTTCGTTAACAGATTTAATGCTTAGTATAGAGCTTAGAAAAAATTCGCAATGTGAGATAGGCAAGAAGTAAGGCATGTAGCAAGATCAGCACAGCAAATGGCACTCCTTTAAAGGCAAGGAAGGGCAAAGATATTTTAAGTCAAGTGATAGCGATTGTTGTATGAGTCGTACAATTTTTGAATCATGCCCGGGCAACGCCGGGTCATGTTGCTAGTACTGGATGAAAGGTCGGCTTACGGCCACATCAAGTTGAAACACCGGTTCCCGTACAATCATCGAAAGTTAAGCAACGCCAGTACCTAGATGGGTGACCGCTTGTGAATACTAGGTGCTATAAGCCTGGATGTGAGGGTGGCGTAATGGATAATGCCTCGGAATTTTTAATCAGAGATCCGAGTTCTAATTCCATTTGTGTTCTTTATATTTACTTACATGCAAATACCTTTTGGAAAGGGATGAATCCACCCCCCCAGCTAGGGGTTAATTAGTAAGTCTCTATTTTTTTTATTTGATTAAAGGCATATCAACGCCTTGATGAAGTTTAATTTTCTTGGGAGCCTTAGTAATTTCTTTTTACAAAAAATGTATTGTAATTTTTTTTTCTTCAAAAATATATTGTTGGCAATTTTATTTTTACGAAAATCTATTGCTGGTATTACAGGCTGTTTCAAATGTCATGGACCGATTTTAAATGTGAATTAAGTTTAAGCGTCTAATGATTTTTTTTTTTTTTCTTTCAGATTTGAAAACTTAAGTCTTTGGCAATTTCAACCATGGAAAGATTAACAATAAAACAACGTGTTAACGTTATCGAAGACTATTACGAAAATGGACGTTCAAACAGAAATGCAATGAGAAGTTCCCAGGTTGCATCATCTCTCGAAACAGCGAAGTCAATTGGCCACCATGATCGTGCGACTTGACGCCTTTAGATTTCTTCCTTTGGGTGTCATCTCAAAAAGTAAAGTCTATGCCATCAAGCCAACAACAATTCAATAGTTGAAGGATCAGATAATAAGGCATATAGGTGAGATTAAAGAGCAACTATGCAGAGACGTCATAAAAAATTTGGACCATCGAATGGAGGTATGCTGCTGAAGCCTTGGCGGACATTTGGGCAATATTATTTTTTCACACATAATTGCCATGACTTTAAACCACATGATCCAATAGAGAAATAAATAATTTTTCACTAATAACACTGATTTATTTATTTCTAACTTTGATCCGTCTTAATGAAACACCATTTATATATAGAGAGATAGATAGATACATATGAACAGGTATAGATAGATAGATATGAATAAACAGGTATATATATGAGGGGTGTTCCAATAACTTGCACCAACTTTAAATGTGTATTAAGTTTAAGCGTCTAATAATTTTGTTCTTTTTTTTTTCAGATTTATCAACTTAAGCCTTTGGCAATTTCAACCATGGAAAGATTAACAATCAAACAACGTGTTAAAGTTATCGAAGACTATTACGAAAATGGACGTTCAAACAGAAATGCATTTTTGGGTCAACATAATCGACCAACCGAGAGTGCAATTGGAAACGATATAACGTTTTTGCAGAGGGGTTTAATTCCTGCGCGCGATGACGAAGAGAGGGGCCTGGATTTTGGCCACATTCTCGAGCAATATTTTTAGCGTAAACGAGCAAGCAATGGTGTTTTCACATCTGCTACCGACCCAGTTTGTTTGAATTTGAAGTCTTAGATACAGGGCACAAATTTTTCACATATTCTTTGCCAGGGCTACAAACTAACATTTTTATCATGGTCCCAAAAAAATAACTCTAAACAAATTTAATTGTTGTGAAAAAAACTAAAACTGTTCAAAAAAAAAAAAAATTAAAACCTCATTATTTATAGTTCTTCTTATATATATATATATATATATATATATATATATATATATATATATATATATATATATATATAGGGTGTTCTAAATTACTTGGACTTACTTTTAAATGTGAATTAAGTTTAAGCATCTAATGATTTTTCTTTCAAATTTAACAAAAATATTTTGGCAATTTCAACCATGGAAAGATTAACAATCAAATAACGTGTTAAAGTTTCAAGAGTGCAATTGAAAAATTATTCGTAAATTCAAACAAACTGGGTCAGTGGCAGATGGGAAAACACCAGTGCCTGCTCATTTACGCTGTTCAGTTGAAAACATTGCTGCAGTGCACGAGAATGCAGCCGATAATCCAGACACTTCTATTCGTCATCGCGCGCAAGAATTGAATCGCTCAACAATAACGTTGCACCGAATTTTTACAAAATTCAATTGACACAAAAACTGAACC